AAGGAAGCTCGTTGAGTTTGAGGATTTAGGGTCGCAAGGCTAATGTGTTAACCACAGACTCTGCAAGTGGGGATTTTATTTTTGTCTCCTACAGAAAGAACACTACCCTACCGAGTATTTGAACCTAGGTCTCCTGCATATAAAACAAATGACAGAAAAATAGAGATGTGATGACTGTACATGTTTCTGTATTTGTTATATTATTGCATCAAAGATTATAAGAACTCTGGTGTCTGGAGCTGCATTGTGGGAAAACAAGAATAGACCCACTGCCACCCCAACAAGCATGTCATAAGAGTCGACTTACTGGGGGCTTTCTTCAGAGTTTGAGTGCATCTGCTTGAGAGGCAAGGAACCAGCAGGCTGCTTGCAGATAAATCAGATCTGTAAAACTGATGTGCATACAACACGTTGTGTAACAAGATAGGGGGACAAACAGCCAAAACTTTCTGCCTGAGTTTACAGCCGGTGAACATGAAGAAGTAAGAAGAACAAATGATAGGTTGATACACAAACTCTCTTTCTAATTTCCTGTTTGATATTTCAGCTGTTTTATGTTTTATTCATGTCACCGAAGATGAATTGATACAGTTAAAGTTACACACTTAAAGTCGAGAGGATCAACTTCAGTGCCCCAAATTATCCCAGAAAGCTCAGTCTCTCTCTGCAGAATTGCTGGTCGCAAAAAGCACAAACCCCCGAAGCTCAAGCAAAGATCGCCATGTATCTCCATAAAAACTGCACTATGTGTTTGGGAAACAGATGACCTTTACAATGAAAAGGCAAATGACTTGACCACTCGCCATGGAGACCCTCAAACAAAGATTATGAGAACAGAAAAGAGAGAAATGATTTACACATTCTGTCATGTTGACTTCATGTTTGCTATTTCAGCTGTTTCTGTTTGCTGCCTGGACTGTTTATTCTATCACAAATTGTTAGAACAGCAAAGAGAGAAATGATTACCCTGTGTATACATAATCTTTTAGCTGTATCTCGCTGTTTAGTCTTCAGAATGATTGTTTCAGTTGCTTGTATGACTTCCTTCATCAATGATTGTGCAAACAATAATTACATATGAAATATTCCCCCTTCATTTTATAAAGATTTCTGGAACAAAAAATGATTAGATTGTGAACCAGTGTATTGGTAATACATAACTGTGCAATAAATGACAGCTTTAGCTCTGTAGCCAACACATTAAAGCTTGGAGAAGACTCATTTACTGTTCTTGTATGACTTCTGGTTTTTCTGTATCCATTCTAAGAATGTTGGTTGACACTTTGTGTTAGGGTTTACAGGTAGGCTGTAATATCTGTGCCTTTCAGCCCACCATGCCCACTTTAGGCTGAGTCAACCTGGGGATTTAGGTCAGTGTGGGGAAAATCTGCATTGATTTAGAATTGAACCAAAGATTATCAGGCCTAGAAGCGATCATCTAGCCACTAGGGGACAAGAGAATTGATGTTTGACAAAACAGCATCAGCAGCCGACAGCAGAGTGCCATTTTCACTTCAGTACTGATATTTGGCAAAACAGCAGGACCAACAAACAGAGGCAGTGTAAGTTTAACATTATTCATGTTTGACAAAACAATGATCACTCCACTAAACCCTTGTGCTGGGAAAGAAAGAAAGTCTGTTAGCTCCGGCAATGCCTGACCACTTTGTTAATTACCTCCTGCCTACAGCCATGCAGTTCTTCAGCATCAAGATGGAAGATATTGTAACCACTTTCTCATGGGAACAGTCAGGTACCTTGGTGTGGCTACTGCGCAGTGAACGCCGGAAAGTGACCAATATTCAATAAAGTAGATTATCACAACATACCATAAACAACAAACACAGTATCAGTTTAATTTAATATCAGTATTTACTATTGATCTTTGTTTTTACAAAACACCAACAAACAACAGTTTAATATATAAAACAACAAGATCTTAAATAACTTTATAAAATGTTATGAGATGAGAATTGTATAGCAAAAGCACATTATAGTGAGAGAATGGTAAGAGATGCATGCCCCTGTGAAAGTTGTGGGTTGATTTCTGTAAGTTGTGATGTTGTGTAAGTTACACATTGATGGTTGTGAAGTCTACCAAAGTATGCAAGAGTATCATACCCCTGATGAGTCATTGGAGTGAAAAGGTGTCCTCACTTGTTTTTCCACCATGCAGCTAATCATGGCTGCTTGAAGTACATATCACAGTAGTTAAGAAGATGGCTTTGTTAAAAGGCAGATGAGTTATGACATACATATATAGCACAATGACGTATGTAAGAAATAATGATTTAATAATGCATGACAGACTAGTACAAATGGCATTGAATAACACACTGACATCTTGTAACACATCTAGCAGCTTGACTGACATACAGCAGCCAATGTTTAGCTGTCGAATAAGCCATCTGACATGTTAGCATATTATAGCCCCTGACTAGCGAATCTGGCAACTAGATGGTACTGGAATATAGGTGACATCTACTGAGCGTTCATAAGCATGTAACAACTAAAGGTTTCTCAAATACCAGACACTGTTAACAGTTAATGTCAAACAGGCACAAATGACAAGAAATGCCAACTAGGCACATGTGTCTCAACAGTAAAACAGCAACTGGTTTATTTACAGCAAGGCGGTAACATAACAACAACAAATAACATTGCTTAATTTATTTAACATATCCTCTCAGTCACGTAACATTCAAGATATTCAGGTGTACATGACAACGAGCAGGCTGATAGATTAGCTGCTGTAGCCGTTCTGAGTGGAGAGCTACTTAGTCATAAAACGGACGTGTTGAAGACTCTTGGATCAAATAAACAGTGCAAGAGACCAGACAGAGTATCTGTATCTAAAGATGATATTCAGCCTGGAGTAAGCAGTCTTGGCCATTTTATAGCGGGCGGTGGCAGCGAAATTTACAGCAGGTTGAGAACTGTTTATTGGCTACTGAGGAAAGGGATGGTGCACATATGGGAGTTTCCCGTAAGCACTGATGTCAGTTCTTGGCTGACTAATTTATTTTCTTTCTTTCTTTCTTTCTTTCTTTCTTTCTTTCTTTCTTTCTTTCTTTCTTTCTTTCTTTCTTTCTTTCTTTCTTTCCTTTTTTTTCTTTCTTTCTTTCTTCCTGTCTTTTTTCTTTCTTTCTTCCTGTCTTTTTTCTTTCTTTCTTTCTTTCTTTCTTTCTTTCTTTCTTTCTTTCTTTCTTTCTTTCTTTCTTTCTTTCTTTCTTTCTTTCTTTCTTTCTTTCTTTCTTTCTTTCTTTCTTTCTTTCTTTCTTTCTTTCTTTCTTTCTTTCTTTCTTTCTTTCTTTCTTTTTTCCTTCTTTCTTTTTTTCTTCTTCTTCTTACTCTTCTTCTTCTTCTTCCTCTTCTTCTTCTTCTTCTTCTTCTTCTTCTTCTTCTTCTTCTTCTTCTTCTTCTTCTTCTTCTCGTTCTTCACGGGCTGTAAATTCTGGCGGAAAGTTCTGACTGTGACTCCAGCCTTTAGTCTTGTTTCAGAACCCGAGTACACATGCACATCAGTTTTACAGATCAGGCTTGTGTGTACGCAGACTGTTATTTCCTCATCTCCCAGGATGCACTACAATTTCAGTTGAAACATCCTTAACAAGTCAACTTCTACGACTAGTTAGGCAACAGTGGGTGTTCTGTTTCCCAGCAATTGGACCATGAAACCCACACGGTGAGATTCATTCATTCAAGTAACATTATTGCTTGTCATATCCGCTTATGTTCATAACAATATTGCCAACAATCAAAGTATATTTCATCGTAACCACGTAACAACATTATATGGCTGATAATATCCACATATAATATACATGTATAAAGCGGTCGTTCGACCATGGACAATACCGGCCTTTTAACACGTCGCTAAGGCGTAAAGAAGGATCTCTTTCCGCTCCCATTTTCAGCCTGCTCCAATGCTGCCCATATCTCAAAGACGATTCTGGTGATAAGCATGGCTCCGTATGGTGCTGGTGGGTGGGTGGGTGGGGGGGGGATGGCAGCCTAGAGCTGCCAGACATGAGCAATTGACTAAGGGCACAAGACATTTCATGAATCAACACAGAAGGGGCGTCGTCGGTCGTTTGATTATCGTGGGGCAGAGATCTGTCCGGAGTGCTGTGATGATAATCCTCACTAATTGTTAATCACAACCTACCATGTGTCTGACTGTTATCGTTACAAGATTCTTTCTTTTTTTCTTTCTTTCTTTCTTTGTTTCTTTTTTCTATCTATCCTTTTTCTTTCTTTTTTTTTTTTTTTTCTTTGTTTGTTTGTTTCTTTCTTTTCCCCAAAGCCTTTGCGGGTAATTGATATTATTTCTCCCCGCTTTTCTTTGTGTGCAGCCATCTCTTCTTTTCTCTCTTCGACTTGGCCTCTTCTTTCAAATTGTCTTCTTCTTCTTGTTCTTCTTCTTCTTCTGTGTTCTTATTTCTCTTCGCTTCTTCTTTCTTCTTCTTCTCTGGATCTTCTTCTTCTTCTTCTTCTTCTTCTTCTTCTTCTTCTTCTTCTTCTTCTTCTTCTTCTTCTTCTTCTTCTTCTTCTTCTTCTTCTTCTTCTTCTTCTTCTTCTTCTTCTTCTTCTTCTTCTTCTTCTTCTTCTTCTTCTTCTTCCTTTTATCCTTAGAGTGTCACAAGTCACTCCCTCCAGGTCGTCCTATCTACCGATGTCTCATGAGCTACTCCCATTCACTCAGTTGTGTACGCGGTTTTTCTTTGTCTCTCTGTTATCTGCCATTCGCTGTGTTTGCCCCAGTCATTGCTATCTATTGGCCCTCACGATGCCAGTCATTAGTGGCGGTAACATTTTGTGCCTTTCTTATAGAATCGCAAATGGAAAAACATAGGAAAAGGCAACTACTTTTGTACAAAACTTGGCGTTTTTTTGTCTGAATCACAAGAATAGCTTTAACACAGATACGAGTGGCAACATGAAACGATGGAAACTGTCAACAAGCAATATTTACAAACAGGCAACGGTAAACACTTTCATTATAATGATGATGTCGATAGCGATGATGGCGACGAAGACGATGAGGCGGCTGACGTTTGGGGGTTGTCCAGGTCAAATATTTCCTTCAGGAGCGGCATCACGTGACAGAAGTCAGGGGTGGGATCGAAAGACGTGGCCTCTCAGGTTTTCACTGAACTGTTCGACAATCTGGCACAGGTCTGGGACCAGCATGAGTAGTTTGGCCAGGAGAACCTACACAAGGCAGACACAGTTCATTAATATTTCATTTAAGCTGTTTGGCACATGGAGGTTGGTTTAAGAATTCCTTATAAAACTCAAGTCAAGTTCCCTTTTCCATGCCTTTAGGCGTATTTGGCATGTACGGCCAAACCTGTATTTTATAGACAAAAAAAAAAAAAAAAAAAAAACTTGTATGTCATATAGTCAGCACCATGCCAGTCGCCTTTACTTCCTAGGACTTTACCTGATATCCATTTAGGCTGGGTCATTTTTGAAACGAAAAAAAGTATGGCTCCATCAAGACGTGAACCTACGACCTTCAGATATGCTGGCGAGCGTTTAACCGACACACTAGGGCAGTCACCTCGCTGTGAGGGAGCGTTTAACCCACACACTAGGACAGTCACCTCGCTGTGAGGGAGCGTTTAATTGACACACTACGACAGTCACCTCGCTGTGAGGGAGCGTTTAATTGACACACTAGGACAGTCACCTCGCTGTGAGGGAGCGTTTAACCGACACACTACGACAGTCACCTCGCTGTGAGGGAGCGTTTAACCGACACACTAGGACAGTCACCTCGCTGTGAGGGAGCGTTTAACCCACACACTAGGGCAGTCACCTCGCTGTGAGGGAGTGTTTAACCGACACACTAGGACAGTCACCTCGCTGTGAGGGAGCGTTTAACCGACACACTAGGACAGCTCCTCGCTGTGAGAGATCGTTTAACCGACACACTAGGACAGTCACCTCGCTGTGAGGGAGCGTTTAACCGACACACTAGGACAGTCACCTCGCTGTGAGGGAGCGTTTAACCAACACACTAGGACAGTCACCTCGCTGTGAGGGAGCGTTTAACCAACACACTAGGACAGTCACCTCGCTGTGAGGGATCGTTTAACCGACACACTAGGACAGTCACCTCGCTGTGAGGGAGCGTTTAACCGACACTAGGACAGTCACCTCGCTGTGAGGGAGCATTTAACCCACACACTAGGGCAGTAACCTCGCTGTGAGGGAGCGTTTAACCAACACACTAGGACAGTCACCTCGCTGTGAGGGAGCGTTTAACCCACACACTAGGGCAGTCACCTCGCTGTGAGGGAGCGTTTAACCGACACACTAGGGCAGTCACCTCGCTGTGAGGGAGCGTTTAACCCACACACTACGACAGTCACCTCGCTGTGAGGGAGCGTTTAACCCACACACTAGGGCAGTCACATCGCTGTGAGGGAGCGTTTAACCGACACACTAGGACAGTCACCTCGCTGTGAGGGAGCGTTTAACCGACACACTAGGACAGTCACCTCGCTGTGAGGGAGCGTTTAACCGACACACTAGGACAGTCACCTCGCTGTGAGGGAGCGTTTAACCCACACACTAGGACAGTCACCTCGAAGGGAGCGTTTAACCGACACACTAGGACAGTCACCTCGCTGTGAGGGAGCATTTTACCGACACACTAGGACAGTCACCTCGCTGTGAGGGAGCGTTTAACCCACACACTAGGGCAGTCACCTCGCTGTGAGGGAGCGTTTAACCGACACACTAGGACAGTCACCTCGCTGTGAGGGAGCATTTTACTGACACACTAGGACAGTCACCTCGCTGTGAGGGAGCGTTTAACCCACACACTAGGACAGTCACCTCGCTGTGAGGGAGCATTTAACCGACACACTAGGAAAGTCACCTCGCTGTGAGGGAGCGTTTAACCGACACACTAGGGCAGTCACCTCGCTGTGAGGGAGCATTTAACCGACACACTAGGAAAGTCACCTCGCTGTGAGGGAGCGTTTAACCGACACACTAGGGCAGTCACCTCGCTGTGGGGGAGCGTTTAACCGACACACTAGGACAGTCACCTCGCTGTTAGGGAGCGTTTAACCCACACACTAGGACAGTCACCTCGCTGTGAGGGAGCGTTTAACCCACACACTAGGGCAGCTCCTCGCTGTGAGGGAGCGTTTAACCGACACACTAGGACAGTCACCTCGCTGTGAGGGAGCGTTTAACCGACACACTAGGACAGTCACCTCGCTGTGAGGGAGCGTTTAACCGACACACTAGGACAGCTCCTCGCTGTGAGGGATGTTTGACTATTTGGTTTTAGATTGTGAAACCTGAAATTATTGGAAGAATACAAGATTTAACTAAGTTCGGTTCTTCGTCACGCAGACAAGAAGAGAAGCATGCAGTGACTGTCAAACTTTAATGGTAACTACGTGACTGTTTTAAAGTTCCTGTAGTGAGCTGTACAATTTAACTCAAGAAGACCCGATGATTTGTGTATGTCAGTGGAAAGTATTTTTGTTTAAATGCTTTATTATATGTTGACAAAAACTTGTAGTAATGCATCTCACCACATACACTAAATTATGCCATGTTTTGTGTGTGCGTGCGCGTGTATGTATGTATGTGTGTGTGTGTGTGTGTGAGAGAGAGAGGGAGAGAGAGAGCGTCCAATTATTTGTTGTAACCATCATATGTATTTCGTGTGTGACTTTCCAGACGTCCTTTCTACAGCCCTTTATTCCTTTTTTTTCTGACTCCCTTCCTGGTAAACCCCCTCCAATCAACACAGCCACCCTTTCACGTGTAAGTTTTTAACACAATCTTTCTTTTGACTAACTTTTATCTCACCCCAGTTCTACAGTCTCTTTATCTTCCACGACACACAATCACAGTCTCGATTCGAGATAAGCTTAATAAGTGACCTCTGACCTTGTCTTTGGGATGGTTGTGTTTCAGCTCCAGTCGTAAGGCCTCAATGAGGTTGGCCTGCAGATCCTCAACATTCTGTGGCGCAGACAGACCGAGACAGTCTGGGTACAAAGACAAGGAAACAGATATTATATCTGCAGTCATTGTAATCATTTAGTAACAGACGTAACAACGTGGCAGAGGCGCTCACACACACACACGTACACACACACGCACGCATACACATACGCACACAGAGGGGGTAGGAGAAGATTAGGAGGTGGGATGGTAAAGAAGAGAGTTAGTATAGTCTGGTTAGAAAGAGAAGAAACAGTCAGCAACGAAAAACTAAGAACAGTGTTAGGGGACAGTAACGGTTAATTATTTTCTTCAAACATCAGTCAAATTATTGCGTCATCTGGTCAGAATGGAATCAAATCAGCCAGCAGCTAGAGGGAACTACATAAGAACAGCAGGCTAGGAGGCAAGTGGCCGACCAACACAGAAATGGTGAAGGGTGTAAAAGCGACACCACAGAAACACAGTGTGACGTTATCTCAAGAAAAGTAGCTAGTTAAAGACAGGAAACTACATGTAACTTCTTTCTGCGATCATTTACTGTATAGGCAGTAGGACAAATGCAGAAGAAGAAGAATGACAGAAAGAGAGAGAGAGAGAGAGGGGGGGGAGGAGAGGGGGAGAAAGAGAGAGAGAGGGGGGAGAGAGGGGGGAGAGAGACAGAGAGAGAGAGGGGAAGAGAGAGAGAGGGGGAAGAGGGAGAGAGGGAGAAGAGAGAGAGAGGGGAGAGAGAGAGAGAGAGAGAGAGAGAGAGAGAGAGAGAGAGAGAGAGAGAGAGAGTTTGAAGTATTAGAAAAAAAAAACAGCAGAGTGGGAATGCTAGATTTTGCTCCGTTAGATTCCATCCAAACAGTAACTCTTTAAGTCAACAGGTGTCAGTTTTTCGTGCTACAATCCTGGAGGTGAAAAAGTTCAACAAAGGTTACCTTACTGCCTGTTTCAATGAGATGAGATAGCACAATCACAGACTGACTACACAGATAGAAAAGAAAAACAAAATCGTCCTACTGAAACCACGTACAATTAGTCAAAGCAGGTGTGGTGAATTCGACAAGAATCTTGACAGCTTTTTCTCACAGGATGCACTGGTGTTAGCAAACGATCTGAAACACGTAGTTGAAGATCCCAGACACTGTGAAGACACAAGACGCCCGGGCCAGCAGGCAAGGCACTTGTGGATGATGACGACGATGTGGTCAAGACCCTTTAGGAGAAGGTGAGCAATTGGGAAAGGCAAATAGGGCATTGCACTCTGGACAGAAAGTGGCAGCCGGGAGTGACATGGAATCTGGCCAGCTCTCGACACACTGAGTCATTTAATCAAACTGTTGCAGAAATAATCAGAACTGAAACTCTGCGCTGGCTGCTGAAGACGGGGACTTGGCACATTAAGAATGTCTCTAATGCTAGGGTGTAGGTTCTTAACTCAACAGTTATTTAATTTAACTGGCTCTGTCCTAATTATAACTCCGGTTTTTGTTTGTGTGAATAATAATATGAAGTAAAAGTTAAGGACCCATTTGGCGTCCGTGACGCATCACGCATGGATGCCGGACGCTCACTTTTATAGACCAGTTGATATTAGATGCATGTTGTCAGGTGAGTAAGACACATTTTACCTTACCAGGACATCACACATAGCGATAAACACCTGGTGACACAAGGTGCCACCATGCGGATGAGGATCACCCGTAGAGAGGTCTCGGAAACCGTGTTAAACTGTTAGGCTAATACTTTGCATCCCACAAATGGGATGACGAAGATTTGTTACTGTGGATGTTGGCAATATCGCCCATGTCTGAGGCTGGATCGATATGGAGCCAAGATCAATTTAAAAAAAAAATCAAATCACATAGAAAAGAGTTCCAACCTAAAACTTTGGACCACACAAACAAGACTCTAGCCACTTCGAAAACTGCCGCTTCGTGTAAAGTAAAGATCCCTTTTCACGCCTTAGGCGCTTGTGGTATATGGGACCAACTGAATGGGTAATGTGGTCAGCATTACGCTGGCCGTCTTTACTTCCCCAGGACAGCCATCCTGGTACCCTTTTTAGGCTGGGTCGACCGGTGACGCCCTATATGTAATTCATAAATTAAATATTAAGGGAGACAACAAGAACAATTGAAGAAATCTTAATTATGTCCCCTTACCCTGAGTTAGCAGCACGGCAGAAAAGAGCGCCATCTCGCCAGTTGTCAAACTGAAGGCCTGCACTTTATCCATGACAACCATGGCGTGTCCTAGCAACCAGGCCATTTGTTCGCAGATGTAGAAAGAATTTCTTCTGATCCGCAAACTTCCGGCTAAAGTATCCATCTGAACAAAACTTGGCGTGATCACCGAATGGAGCTGTAACGAAATAGCAGTAACATAAATAAAGTACTCCTCAAAACACTTCTTTATTTGGCCAGTTTGTCACTTATTAGCATCAAGCGGCGTGCTGGTCAGCGTGGACTGTCATGTTTTTCCTTCCATATGACTAAGACATCCAGATATTTATTTCTTTGCCCTCTCCTTTCTCTCTTTCCATCAATCTTGACATTAGTTACAGAGTTATCGAATGCATTCTTTCTCATAACATTCACTATCTTACTGTTTTAACCAGTTTACGTGAATCCTCTGTTTCCATGAGGACTGTCCAGTTGTTTCCTCCTATCAAATTTGTAATATTCTTCTTCAAAACCACGTCCCCGCTGCACATTGATGGTTTTCAGCTTGTCTACACACTGGCCATGCTTCACATGCATATAAAAACAGAACAGGTTCTTAACAATCTCCTCACACCCCCAGCCACACACACAAACGCACATCGTTAAACATTCCGCAGATCGTTAAACATTCCGCAGATCGTTAAACATTCCGCAGATCGTTAAACATTCCGCAGATCGTTAAACATTCCGCAGATCGTTAAACATTCCGCAGATCGTTAAACATTCCGCAGATCGTATTAATGACTTTTATTATGAAAACGACACAATTATGACCAAATAATGACAATAAAAACCCATGTATTTTGTTTCTAACAAATAATGCATCGTAAATTTCTGTCAGAAAACCGCCGATCATTTCTTCTCCTGGTCACTAGCCATTATGGTGCTTGCACCTCCTCTAACTTCTGCAGTCTGATCCTTATTTTCTTGCTCTTATTTCTGTTAATTCTCTTCATGTTCAGCCTCTGACGAAGTCCTATATTTGTGATACCCGTACTGGCAATACGAGGCTTGTGTCAACTGTAGGCAGGGCCGGTGTCACCTGTAGGCAGTGCCGGTGTAACCTCTAGGCAGTGCGGTGTAACCTGTAGGCAGGGCCGGTGTAACCTGTAGGCAGGGCCAGTGTAAACTGTAGGCAGGGCCAGTGTAACCTGTAGGCAGGGCCAGTGTAAACTGTAGGCAGGGCTGGTGTAACCTGTAGGCAGGGCTGGTGTAACCTGTAGGCAGGGCTGGTGTAACCTGTAGGCAGGGCTGGTGTAACCTGTAGGCAGGGCCAGTGTAACCTGTAGGCAGGGCCGGTGTAACCTGTAGGCAGGGCCGGTGTAAACCTGTAGGCAAGGCTGGTGTAACCTGTAGGCAGGGCTGGTGTAACCTGTAGGCAGGGCCAATGTAACCTGTAGGCAGGGCCGGTGTAACCTGTAGGCAGGGCCAGTGTAACCTGTAGGCAGGGCTGGTGTAACCTGTAGGCAGGGCCGGTATAACCTGTAGGCAGGGCCGGTGTAACCTGTAGGCAGGGCCAGTGTAACCTGTAGGCAGGGCCGGTGTAAACTGTAGGCAGGGCTGGTGTAACCTGTAGGCAGGGCCAGTGTAAACTGTAGGCAGGGCTGGTGTAAACTGTAGGCAGGGCCGGTGTAAACTGTAGGCAGGGCCAGTGTAACCTGTAGGCAGGGCTGGTGTAAACTGTAGGCAGGGCCGGTGTAACCTGTAGGCAGGGCCAGTGTAACCTGTAGGCAGGGCCAGTGTAACCTGTAGGCAGGGCCAGTGTAACCTGTAGGCAGGGCCGTGTAAACTGTAGGCAGGGCCGGTGTAACCTGTAGGCAGGGCTGGTGTAACCTGTAGGCAGGGCCGGTGTAACCTGGAGGCAGGGCCGGTGTAACCTGTAGGCAGGGCCCACTGTAGGCTTGATGAGGTCCAAGGTTTCAAAATCCACGATGCCCCTACCATTTTAAATTACACCAACGAATCTCATAACATTTGAAAGTATTTACACCTTTTAAAAATATGGATAACAGAAAAATATTGCTTTTTAATTTTTATTAAAAGAAAAAATATATAGCGTATCTGCGAAATTACAGACATTATATTACATAATCGTCTAAACGGCTCCAAGTTTCATGAACGTTTGATTTTTGTATGCTAAGAAAATTGCATTTTAAATATATTTTCTATGATTTTCGTATTTTAAGAAAATTCATTTCAAATAATTTTTTTTTTTTAATTTTAAGAAAATTGCATGTAAAATATGTTTTCTTTGATTTCTCTATTTTAAGAAATTTGCATTAAATTTTTTTTTTTTTAAATTGCATTTGTGAAAGAAATTTGTTTGGCCCCTGCATATTGTGAGGCCCTAAGTTGTAGCTTATTTAGCCAATACCTAAACCCGGCAGCACTTGCTGCAGTCCTGTGGTGAAAGTGTGTGTAGACAAAATGTAAGTAGATCGGTAGCTAATTGCTACCCTACAGAACTGAGTTTGCAGGCTTTAAAACCTCAAGGATGAGAATCAAACATCAGCAAATCCCAGAAACCCCTTTCAACGGTATAACCCAGTTATTGAAGTCACCCATAGAGTTACCAAGTAACGTGTAGTCAAGTGTCGAACTGGGACTTAAGAATGTATCGAAAATTTAGCAAGGCATACTCACAGCTAGATGAACGACCATGAATCCGTTTCGCTTCATCAACATGATCTGGTCTCTCATGGCAAGGGAAGTAAATCCGGGGATCTTCTTGGCAAACCGAACGCTGCCCTCCATGACGGGCAGCGCTAGCTCCTGGAACCGACCAAACACGCCACGGGAGAAGAACTGGTCTGTGGTCAGCGTGTCAAGGACTTCTACGGGCTCAGCTGGCTAGACACACAGAAATGTTGTCCATTTCAATAAAATTTCAAGTAAAAGACACCAACATTTTCATTTTATTATCCTTAATTTAGAAATAAAACAGAAACACAGAGCAGATCGCAGAATAAATACCTATGTGGGATGCAATTTATTCTTTATTTGAAGTCCTACTCTGACTCTTGCCAGGGGCCGCAATATAGCCCCAACATAAATATGGTCTAATGGCTAAACGCGGTTTCTCGGACCTCTCCACGGCGATCCTCATCCAAATGGTGGCACTTTGTGTCATCGGGTGTTTATCACTGTGTGGTGTCCTGGTGGGGAAAAGTACTACTACTACAGAATGAGTGGATAAATAAACATCAAATTGACATCACTGCACTTTAGAACACATGTCCCTCTCCTTGCCCAGAAGCCAACAAAGAGTTCCATGCTAACAGTGCCAGATGTAATCTGAGTATAAGTCCGACCGTTTTCCCCCTCAGCATTGAATATCATCTATAACTCTGTTTACCCCTCACATCACACATAACCTCTGTTTACTCCTCACATCATCCATAACCTCTATTTACCCCTCACGTCAACCATAACCTCTGTTTACACCTCACGTCATCCATAACCTCTGTTTACCCCTCACATCACCCATAACCTCTATTTACCCCTCACATCATCCATAACCTCTGTTTACCCCTCACCTCATCCATAACCTCTGTTTACCCCTCACCTCATCCATAACCTCTGTTTACCCCTCACATCATGCATAAGCTCTGTTTACCCCTCACATCATCCATAACCTCTGTTTACCCATCACCTCATCCATAACCTTTGTTTACCCCTCACATCATCCATAAGCTCTGTTTACCCCTCACGTCATCCATAATCTCTGTTTACCCCTCACCTCATCCATAACCTTTGTTTACCCCTCACATCATTCATAACCTCTGTTTACCCCTCACTGAATTAGTCTGTCAAGGTTTGGATGTTCGGTTGTACTATCTGTTTGATCCTAGATGCTAGCCACTCTACGCATAGACTGTCAGTTTCTATCATCTGAAGCATCTTCCGTGAGTCCGTTACAGCCACCGAGCGATCGGAAAATTGCTGTTACTGTCTCCATCTCTATTCTCATGGTGAATGTTGTGACGCTTTAAGAACGGTTCTCTATTTTTAAACAGAGTCCATTCACTTTTGCAATAAAACACCATCCAATCTGTTTCAACTTCATTACAGATCCATATGTTTGTATAATATCAGTTGGGCGTAGAAGAAATTATCGCCACATCATGATTTGACACTTTAGATTAAAAAACCTCTGTCTGAATGGCAGACCCACTAGTCAAATGCCTGCTAACGTATTTAACATCCAAAGAGGTTATAACCTGGGTACTTATAAAGGAGACATCTGTGTAACCTACGATCTTATACAGGAACGAATGATAAGTGATACACTTAAACATTACAAAACTACCTGCAGAATTCTGCTTTACATGGAAAAAAACTTGCGAAAACCGGATGAAGTTAATGAATTCACTGTTTGTCCGTACTGACATCACAGCACATCGGTGTGACCTATTTCTGCTCCATGCTTAGAGGCAACAGCCATCTCAGTGTCTCCAGCCTCACCACACGCAGTAAGAGTTGACTGGCACATTCCCTTTCCTTGCCCCGCAGTCGGGTTTAGCATGCTTGTCCTCGTTTGATCCACACTCCAACAGGCGATTCACGGTCTTTGACTCTTTCGTCTCAGAGTCTCTGGAACGCGGCACGTTCAGTGTGTCTGCCATGATCATACTTTCTCCTCCACCAATCACTGCAGACACGGCCAGTCTGTCGGCTCTTTCATTTCTTTTTACACCGGCATCTAGCGCCAAGACAGTACAAATGATGGCTAGGATGCAGATAGCGGCGTCTGTGGTCTAGGCGTTACAAACGCGGCGCATAATTCCGAAATACCCAATTACATATAACTGTATACGATCTGGCAGCAGACCACTTTGTGGTAAATTTCGGCAGTGATGTGGAGCGCTGATTTCGGCAGTGATGTGGAGCGTTGATTTCGGCAGTGATGTGGAGCGTTGATTTCGGCAGTGATGTGGAGCGTTGATTTCGGCAGTGACGTGGAGCGTTGATTTCGGCAGTGGTATGGAGCGCTGACCGTTCACTTAGTCTTAGTCAAGGTTTCAGCTTATCCAGTTTCCCCATACCTGTGACGAACGTTCCCCAAGCAATGGTAAACCCTTTGATTTAAAAATAAAACCACAGGCAGTTGAAAAATCATCGGCAACCGCGTTGTCCATTGGCTTACCAGACAGTATTTGGGTCTGTCTCCTTTGATCGCATCAACACTTCAAGAGTTCTTTTCAGGGCGCTTGGTGGAGTGCGATGCAAAGCCATTTTATATGGCGCTTAAAACCTTGTCACAATTCTAACCTTCAGGAACCCTGGTTGAACATGATTTTTTTGGTTTTTATATCAAAGTACCATCACCACCATCGGTCAAGTGATGTGCTTTGGTTTAACGAAGTTTTGTAAAGAATATAAATTAACTTGATGATAATGATACTGGTTGTGCTAACGATGATTACAATGATGACAGTAACAATGACTGTAATGATGAAGACACTGGTTGTGGTGACAATGATGTACACATAACTTACTATATTTTCGTTTACCGCTCCAGTGGGGGATGACGGGGTAGACTGTGAAGCAGGAGACAGTAACTGTGATGAAATGTAAAACGGAGTGGCTGCCCCTGACAAATTCATCTGTGAGAATGTATATGCAGGTTGATGGTGTTGATGTTGGTGAGTTTGCTGATGCTGATGATGATGCTGATGAGGTTGATGCTTATGCTGTGGTTGTTGGTGCTTGAAGAAGATGGTGCTGTTGAAGGTGTCCCTGAAGGCAGCCTTGATGAGGTCTGTTAGGGAGCGAAGTTCAACGATTCGTCTGGAGCTTGTGCAGTTGAGTTCCTCACGATCTGCGAGCAGTTTCTCCCGCTCCACTTTTGGCATGCGCCCAAACCTGACCGCTGTAAGACACACATTCACGACTGATTATTTGAGTCGGGGAATATACATATAATAGGATAAATGCATGTGTCAAGACCAAACACAAAGTTATAACGGAAAGTCCTACCACACTCACGCAACAGACGAAGATCTAGAGGTCACCAAAACAAGCCACGGATAAATGGAGTATCCCAGGCTGTCACTACTAGCATCCTGATAGTACACACTTTGACTCACATTTTTCACAACCTGAATCTGTTTCTGCTGCTGCCACGGTCGGTGTTCAAAACCGGGCGGTTCCCGGGGTTCACCCAGCCTCTAGGAAATGGGTACCAGAGTGATACTCTGGGGTAAATGGAGGAACGTCGCTGTAGCTACAGAGTTACGTGCGAACAGCGACATAGGCGGACAGTTTCTCATCAGCTATCCGTACTGGTGGCAGGGCACTTATGGTTTATAACTGTGTGCAATGACGCTGGTTCACATCTCCCGACTTGACCTTTAATAACATATAGGAAATAACTAGTTGACAAAGAGCTCACTCACCGTCCTGGGACATGCCAGCAAAAAGACATCTCTGGTAGCGGCAGTACTGACATTTGTTCCTGGTTCCCGTGTCGATCTTACACCGGGACCCAGCCTGGCAAGGCTTATACACCAGCTGCTTCTTCAGCGTGCGTCGGAAAAAGCCCTGATCCCGGAGAAAATACAGTAATTAGCACTGATTAAAAAGAAACGGATGACTTGATTTTCAAAGGGTTAAAAATAGGGGACACGGACCTGTATACATTCTGCCCTTTTGACCTCAGTGCTTGAAAACGTTATTCCATGCATATTTAACTTAACAGATATTTTATTTATATATCTTGTATTTACAACAGGCGGGAGTATTCAGGGCAGAATGGCTACTGCAGTCGCCATTGGCTGTGCAGGTTGGATTTTATTTTTGCCTCCGACAGAATAAAAATCCACAATAGTTATGTATTAGTATTAGTTACAAATGCGGGAAGCTGCTCTAACCTTCTAAACAATAATTTTAAAAAAGTATAATAAATCTGGGGAAAAAACAGAATATGTTTAGTTTGTTTATTACTTTTAATGGTATTTATACAGTCATTGAGATAATATGCAGATAGTTGCAGAATGTTGCGTAAGGGTTGTTGAAACATTTGATTGGCTGGGACAGTTGGACTACACCGCAAGAATCGTTGTTGACAGACATGCACACGTGATTTACAATTGGACTTTAGTTTAAAGGGCATCGATTAGAAAAGTTGATGAAAATATTTCGCTTTGTTTTGGAGCTGGCATCAGCTATATTTATGGAAAGCTATAAAACCGAACGAAAAGTACATCAGCTATATTTAGTGTTGTAAATGTAATTTGTAAAGCATTAAGGCTTTCAGTCAACCGTCCACAACCCCACCTTGTCCCTAAGCAGCCAGCCAATTAAACAATCAACCATGCAACCATCTATCTATACAGCCAACCAACAAGCAATCCACTCATCCAACTTAACTATACATCCATCCAATTAACGAACCAATCACACATCCAAGCAACCAACTAATCAACCAGCCACTACAAACCACCCAACCAAACATCCTCAGATTGTTCACACAAAGCTATTTTCTCAAACAAATCCGAAAGACACACATGTGCGCACTAAATGCGCAAACACATACACACAAGAGAGAGAGAGAGAGAGAGAGAGAGAGAGAGAGAGAGAGAGAGAGAGAGAGAGAGAGGAGAGAGAGAGAGAGAGAGAGAGAGAGAGAGAGAGGGAGAGAGAGAGAGAGAGCAGCATTTCAGGATGATCACTGTACATAAGTAGCGTTGGCCTCCCACATCAACGTTTGTTTAAGTTTCTTACGAACATCTTTGTTTCCTAAATTCATTTGTTTCCCATTTCACTATATGCTTGGTGATTCTGGGCTTACTTCCTCTCAGGGCATGCCCATTAAATCTTCGTTGTCTTATAGTTGTCCAGAGAGAGAGAGAGAGAGAGAGAGAGAGAGAGAGAGAGAGAGAGAGAGGGAGAGAGAGAGAGAGCAGCATTTCAGGATGATCACTGTATATAAGTAGCGTTGGCCTCTCACATCAACGTTTGTTTAAGTTTCTTACGAACATCTTTGTTTCCTCAATTCATTTGTTTCCCATTTCGCTATCTGCTTGGTGATTCTGTGCTTACATCCTCTCAGGGCGTGCCCATTACATCTTCGTTGTCTTTCAGACATTTCTGCTCACCATAACTACAGCCTAACAACTTCCCCGTATGACCTCCTCGTTACATGTTTTTACGTAACCAGGAAACACATACGTGACATACCTTGCAACCTTCACAGGAATGCACCCCGTAGTGGAAACCCGAGGCTCTGTCTCCGCAGATCCGGCACAACACCTCTAGCTCTGCCGTGTATTGAGGCTTGTATTGCTGTCAAGGAATACATCATGCGTTTTGTTAGATATCATCAGGGGCAGTAACTTGATCTAATCAACGGAAGGTTGGGATCAGGGGCAGTAACTTAGTCTAATCAACGGAAGGTTGGAATCAGGGACAGTAACTTGGTCTAATCAACGGAAGTTTGGCATCAGGGGCAGTAACTTGGTCTAATCAAAGGAAGATTGGAATCAGGGACAGTAACTTGGTCTAATCAACATAAGGTTGGTATCAGGGGCAGTTACTTGGTCTAGTCAACAGAAGGTTGGGATCAGGGGCAGTAGCTTGGTCTAATCAACTAAAGGTTGGAATCAGGGGCAGTAACTTGGCTTAACTCAGTTTCGTCCTTTTTAGGACGAAATTTTTTGTTATTTGAAGCCCCACCCTGGCTTTTGCCAGGGGCCGCAATATAGGCAGGCCATAAATATGGCCAAATGTCTGAACGCGGTTTCTGGGACCTCTCCACGGCGATCCTCATCCATATGGTGGCACTTTGTGTCATCGGGTGTTTATCGCTTGTGTGATGTCCTGGTGGGGTAGAAAGTCAGTCAGTCAGTCAGTAACTTGGTATAATCAGCGGAAGGTTTGAGTCAGAGGCAGTAACTTGGTCTAATCAACGGAAGGTTGAAATCAGGGGCAGTAAGCTGGTCTAATCAACGGAAAATTGGAATCAGGGGCAGTAACTTGGTCTAATCAACGGAAGGTTGGGATCTTGTGTCTGTGGGCGGCGCTTTTCTTTTAGCGGGCAAACTATTTTTTTCTATAATGAAAATGAGGAGATGGAAGCCGCAGTAGAGTAGTGGCTACACGCTTGACTGCCTACTAGAAGGCTTTGAGGTCGAATGGGCTCTTACGTTTTTACGATACGAATTATTAAGCAGTCACTAGGCACCCCTTTCTTATTTACTACATTAACTACAAGCAAACTATTCTATTCAGACACTTTGACACTTCTTTCTACTTAGTTTACAAGTTGCCAGCAGACTATGCAGTGACTAGACCAAGACTTCATATTTACTTTACAAGTTACCAGCAGACTATGCAGAGACTAGACCAAGACTTCACATTTACTATACAAGCTACCAGCAGACTTTACAGCGACTAGACCAAGACTCAGAACCAATTCTAAATTACATACAAAGACAGCAAGTGAGATGGTTTGCCCACTTAGAGAGAATGCCTTGTGACACCATACCATACAAAGCATACATGGAAAGAGAAGAAGGTCATAGAGCAAGAGGTAGACCAAGAACAAGATGGAAGGATAACATCCGAGAAGCTCTACAACAGCACGATGTGCCTATGGTCGAGGCGGATAGAAGAGCCAGAAACAGAACCTTATATCTCCCTCGACACCCACAGAGGTAAAAGAGGAAGTGAAGAAAAAGAAGACCAAGACTTCACATTTACTATACACGTTACCAACAGACTATGCAGCAACTAGACCAAGACTTCACATTTACTATACACGTTACCAACAGACTATACAGCAACTAGACCAAGACTTCACATTTACTATACACGTTACCAACAGACTATGCAGCAACTAGACCAAGACTTCACATTTACTATACACGTTACCAACAGACTATACAGCAACTAGACCAAGACTTCACATTTACTATACACGTTACCAACAGACTATACAGCAACTAGACCAAGACTTCACATTTACTATACACGTTACCAACAGACTATACAGCAACTAGACCAAGACTTCACATTTACTATACACGTTACCAACAGACTATGCAGCAACTAGACCAAGACTTCACATTTACTATACACGTTACCAACAGACTATGCAGCAACTAGACCAAGACTTCACATTTACTATACACGTTACCAGCAGACTATGCAGCAACTAGACCAAGACTTCACATTTACTATACACGTTACCAACAGACTATGCAGCAACTAGACCAAGACTTCACATTTACTATACACGTTACCAGCAGACTATACAGCAACTAGACCAAGACTTCACATTTACTATACAAGTTACCAGCAGACTATACAGCAACTAGACCAAGACTTCACATTTACTATACGAGTTACCAGCAGACTATGCAGCGACTAGATCAAGACTTCACATTTACTATACATATTAGCAGTAGACTACGCAGTCACCAGAACATTGATGTAATTCAAAAAGTACTAACCTTTCCGCTGTCAGAAGACCCACTAGGACTCCTGGACCCATACTCGTGGGTCGACGAGGGGGAATCGGGATGTTGCTGGTACTGCAACAGCTGTTGCTGCTCGTGGGTGGTAAAATCATGGAAGCGAACGCCTCCAATGTCTGAAGAATCAGCCTGAAGGAAGAGAGAATGAGCACTTGTTAAATTAACAGATGGGCCAATGGGTACTTGGATACATAACTGAGTGAAATCGACACATTGGATGTGTGAGCAATAAGTTGATATGGGACAAGGTATGTTGGTTGCATGTTCTTTGCAGGATTTTGCAAACAGGCTTCCATTTGTTGGCATTGTGGCTTATTGAAAAAATTTTACTTAAAGAAGTTTTCCGTAGTTCGTGGAAAAGACGTTGGATACGATTGTTGAAATTAACACAAAACGGTGTGGTGTCTAATTGCTTGCAGCTTAATTGAACAGAGTATTTCAGAAATATCTAGAATATTCATAGCCCCTAAGCCAAAGCCACCTACCAAAGCATCTGCCCTACAGACGAAGAACCAACAGTTTGCATACAGGTAAGCCAGATCTGTAAAACGCACGTGTACACAAAGCTCAAGTTCTAGAAAAATACGAAAATCCAGAGGTGGACCAATAACTCGAACTTTCCGTCTAAGTTTACAGCAGGTAAGCATTCATTGGTGGAAGGAGGTACAGGGGAAGGAGGAAGAGAAAAAGAAGAAACAAAATAGAAGAAGAAAAAGACGGAAAAAAGAAGAAGAAGAAGAAGAAGAAGAAGAAGAAGAAGAAGAAGAAGAAGAAGAAGAAGAAGAAGAAGAAGAAGAAGAAGAAGAAGAAGAAGAAGAAGAAGAAGAAGAAGAAGAAAAAGACGAAGAAGAAGAAGTAGATGAAGAAGAAGAAGAAGAAGAAGAAGAAGAAGAAGAAGAAGAAGAAGAAGTAGATGAAGAAGAAGAAGAAGAAGAAGAAGAAGAAGAAGAAGAAGAAGAAGAAGAAGAAGAAGAAGAAGAAGAAGAAGAAGAAGAAGAAGAAGAAGAAGAAGAAGAAGAAGAAGAAAAAAAAGAAGAAGAAGAAGAGAAGGAAGAAGAAGAAGAAGAAGAAGAAGAAGAAGAAAAAGAAGAAGAAGAAGAAGAAGAAGAAGAAGAAGAAGAAGAAGAAGAAGAAGAAGAAGAAGAAGAAGAAGAAGAAGTAGAAAAATAAGAAGAAAAAGAAGAAGAAGAAGAAGAAGAAGAAGAAGAAGAAGAAGAAGAAGAAGAAGAAGAAGAAGAAGAAGAAGAAGAAGAAAACAACAACAACAATAACTACAAATGCCTCAGTGGCAATAGGCAGATGACACATGGAGTGAGTTAATAATTCAGGACTCAGGCAACACTATGACTGACCTGTAGGACATCCAGGCACATGGCCGAGGAGGCGTCGACGGGGAACACGTAATACTCGTCCGAGAGGATAGTGCTGTTGAAAATGTCGGCTGTAAAGAACAAAATTGGTACCTCAGTAGTGCAATAAATCGGAGGTGCTGAGGTGAAACCGTGGTGGTTGTTGTTGTAGTATATGCTGTAGTGGAGATTTTTGTAGAAGTAAATGCTGTATTAGTGACTGCCGTAGTAGTGATTGCCGTAGTAGTGATTGCCGTAGTAGTGATTGCCGTAGTAGTGATTGCTGTTGTAGTGATTGCCGTAGTAGTGATTGCCGTAGTAGTGACTGCCGTAGTAGTGATTGCCGTAGTAGTGATTGCCGTAGTAGTGATTGCTGTTGTAGTGATTGCTGTATTAGTGACTGCCGTAGTAGTGATTGCTGTATTAGTGATTGCCGTAGTAGTGATTGCCGTAGTAGTGATTGCCGTAGTAGTGATTGCCGTAGTAGTGATTGCTGTTGTAGTGATTGCCGTAGTAGTGATTGCCGTAGTAGTGACTGCCGTAGTAGTGATTGCCGTAGTAGTGATTGCCGTAGTAGTGATTGCCGTAGTAGTGATTGCTGTTGTAGTGATTGCCGTAGTAGTGATTGCTGTATTAGTGACTGCCGTAGTAGGGATTGCCGTAGTAGTGATTGCCGTAGTAGTGATTGCCGTAGTAGTGATTGCTGTTGTAGTGATTGCCGTAGTAGTGATTGCCGTAGTAGTGACTGCCGTAGTAGTGATTGCTGTTGTAGTGATTGCCGTAGTAGTGATTGCTGTTGTAGTGATTGCCGTAGTAGTGATTGCCGTAGTAGTGATTGCCGTAGTAGTGATTGCCGTTGTAGTGATTGCCGTAGTAGTGATTGCCGTAGTAGTGATTGCCGTAGTAGTGATTGCTGTTGTAGTGATTGTCGTAGTAGTGATTGCTGTTGTAGTGATTGCCGTAGTAGTGATTGCTGTTGTAGTGATTGTCGTAGTAGTGAATGCTGTTGTAGTGATTGCTGTTGTAGTGATTGCCGTAGTAGTGATTGCTGTTGTAGTGATTGTCGTAGTAGTGATTGCTGTTGTAGTGATTGCCGTAGTAGTGATTGCTGTTGTAGTGATTGCCGTAGTAGTGATTGCTGTTGTAGTGATTGCCGTAGTAGTGATTGCCGTAGTAGTGATTGCCGTAGTAGTGACTGCCGTAGTAGTGATTGCTGTTGTAGTGATTGTCGTAGTAGTGATTGTCGTAGTAGTGATTGCCGTAGTAGTGATTGCTGTTGTAGTGATTGTCGTAGTAGTGATTGTCGTAGTAGTGATTGCCGTAGTAGTGATTGCCGTAGTAGTGACTGCCGTAGTAGTGATTGCTGTTGTAGTGATTGTCGTAGTAGTGATTGTCGTAGTAGTGATTGCCGAAGTAGAGATTGCCGTAGTAGTGATTGCTGTTGTAGTGATTGCTGTAGTAGTGATTGCTGTTGCAGTAGTAGTGAATACCGTAGTAGTGATTGTCGTAGTAGTAATTGCCTTAGTAGTGATTGCTGTAGTAGTGATTGCCGTAGAAGTGATTGCCGTAGTACTGATTGCCTTAGTAGTAATTGCCTTAGTAGTGATTGGGTTAGTAGTGATTGCTGTAGTAGTGATTGCTGTAGTAGTGATAGCTGTAGTAGTAATTGCTGTAGTGGTGATTGCTGTTATACTGATTGATGTTGTTGTGGTTGCGGTTGTTGTTGTTGCTGTTGTAGTGGCTGCTGTGGTTGCGGTTGTCGTGGTTGCGGTTATCATTGTTGCTTTTGTTGTTGCTGTTGTGGTGATTTACGTCGAGTGTGGCTACTGTTGTTGGTGGCTCGTGGTCATCATTGACTAGTTCTCAAGTTGATTCACCTCATGGTGACCAGTTGTCCCTCTTTCCCCTGGATAGTCCCTCTTTGCCCTGGATAGTCCCTCTTTCACCCAGACAAACTAGGTTTTACTCGGATATTCCCTGGTTTGCACGGTTTTATCCGGATAATCACGGTTTCACCCGAACTCTCCTGGTAATTAGTGTCTCGTGGATAAGCGGAACACTCAAAGTTCGCTATCTATCGATGACCGGATTGTTTTAAAACATGTTCATGTTTGACTCTCTTCTATTGCTTCTATGATCGTTGGTTAATTGTGTCTTTTACAAGACTGCATTTTTGGCTGTCATTTTACTGGGCAACTTTACGTTCAGTAGTTTGCCATTACGATCTAAACGGTTATTTTCGATAACCGTGTTGGAACCAAAGGAAGGTGGCCTGCTGCCAAATCGTTCTCAACTGAGATTGAAGCCAGAACCACGGAATTACGAAGTGCGTTCGCAGCGCCAAGAAGAACCGGACCACCAACTGTTACACTGTTAGTTTAACTCCGTTTGTTCCATAGCTTAATTAATTTTATTTATTTGGACTTAGCTTTGCTGCTTTACGCTACAACTTGTCGGGATATGAAGGGTTAAAGTAATCATAGGCGGATGCCGGATAGGTTAATATCTGACCACTGTCACGGCAGAGAAAGGTAACTGACCACTATCACGGCAGAGAAAGGTAACTGACCACTGTCACGGCAGAAAAAGGTGACTGACCACTGTCACGGCAAAGAAAAGTAACTGACCACTGTCACGGCAGAGAAAGTTAACTGACCACTGTCACGGCAGAGAAAGGTAACTGACCACTGTCACGACAGAGAAAGGTAACTGACCACTGTCACGGCAGAGAAAGGTAACTGATCCCTAAACCATCTCCAATGAGGAAATTTGAAAAATAGAAAGACAATTTGCTGCTGCTGGTGCCATCCTTCTAGTCCTCATTCGTCCTCTTTTCTTTTTTCCACCTTCTCATCCTCTTCCTTCTCCAATGCCCCATAATTTCTAACCTTAAACTTGATCTTTTTTCTATGTTCAATTTCACTTTCAGTGCATGACCCAGATTCGCACAGCAGAGTTAACGTCTAGTACCTAGTCTAGCAATATCAATAGGTCTTGATTTATTACCAAGTCTAGCCAAGTGCGATCAGAAACAGCACAGCCAGTCGGTAGAAATACCTCTCATCAAATTACTTTTATCTCTCACCTGTTCAAACTGCATGTTTTGAGTGTGTCGGCGCACCTGGTGGGAAAAAAAAGAAGGGGGTGGGGAAACGTTTGCGAGGATAAAGAGATTGAATGGCATCTTTCCGTCTTTCCAGGAGTCAGTGTTATACTGTGCTCTGAGGAGGCGTGGGACATGGTGATGACGGCTGTGATTAGCCAGAAGAACAGCTCTCCACAATTACAGCATGGGTTTTCAGGACCACTGTTGTCAACATTTGTGTAAAGTGTGTTTCTTCTCAGAACTTCAGCCCTCATTCTTTCTACAATAATCTCTTCCTTCATTCTCATTCCTTCCTGATGTGCCCCTTCACGCAACACGATCCATGGCATTTGTTCTCATGAACTCACCTCAATACCTGTACCATTGGTGTCCAGCTTGTACGCATCTTTATTTCGTAGTAGAGGTCGGCCTCGAGACCTTCTACCCGTCTTTAGTTCACCATAAATGAGGTCCTTAGGGTCTGCCATCCTCTATTCTCCAAGTGTGATCCAGCCACCTGAGTTTTCGTAGAAATAGCATTGAGAAAATTCTTGTAATACCTTCTCTTTCCAAAATCTCATTGTTCATGATCTTGTCCTGCCACTTAATGCTACATATTCTTCTTAGGCGTCGCATGTGAAAGCCATTTAGTCGTTTCTCCTGGTGCCAATAAGTTGACCAAGTTTCACTGCCATAAAGCAGAGTGCTGAGAATAGAAGACTTTTAGACACGAGTTTTTGTTGAATCGTGAATGACGTTATGACTGTGAATCTGCAACCGCAATGAAGGTTGGTTACCGTGATACTGCAACCGCAATGAAGGCTGGTTACCGTGGATACTGCAACTACAATGAAGGTTGGTAACCGTAGATACTGCAACTACAATGAAGATTGGTTTCTCTGGATACTGCAACTACAATGAAGGTTGGTTACCGTAGATACTGCAACTACAATGAAGGTTGGTTACCGTGGATACTGCAACTACAATGAAGATTGGTTTCCCTGGATACTGCAACTATAATGAAGGTTGGTTACCGTGGATACTGCAACCGCAATGAAGGTTGGTTACCGTGGATACTGCAACTACAATGAAGGTTGGTTACCGTGGATACTGCAACCGCAAAAAAGGTTGGTTACCGTGGATACTGCAACTACAACGAAGGTTGGTTACCGTGGATACTGCAACCGCAATGAAGGTTGGTTACCGTGGATACTGCAACTACAATGAAGATTGGTTTCCCTGGATACTGCAACTACAATGAAGGTTGGTTACCGTGGATACTGCAACCGCAATAAAAGGTTGGTTACCGTGGATACTGCAACTACAATGAAGGTTGGTTACCGTGGATACTGCAAGTACAATACAGGTTGGTTACGGTGGATACTGCAACTACAATGAAGGTTGGTTACCGTGGATACTGCAACTACAACGAAGGTTGGTTACCGTGGATACTGCAACTACAACGAAGGTTGGTTACCGTGGATACTGCAACTACAGATGAAGGTTGGTTACCGTGGATACTGCATCTACAATGAAGGTTGGTTACCGTGGATACTGCAACTACAATGAAGGTTGGTTACCGTGGATACATGCGTCCATTGCCGCTATTGGGAGTATTCAATGAGGAGGTTCCCCATCTCTTCCACAGGGCAGCAGTAGTACTGTTGTCAGCAAGAAAACAGACAGACTCTCAACAATCAAAGCCTGGTGTGTCGAGCATTGTAAAACACGTTCACTGGAATCTCAAAGACACATAGTTGCACTATCAACGACCAACACATTCTGCGTGGGGCACCGGTGAAGTCAACACCTACATTTGGACAGCAGTAGAGTGCATATCCCCCCCCCCCCCCCCCCGGTTGGCTTAACCTAAAATCAGTATCAGGCACAAAACACTGCTCTGTAGCCTCATAATTAAAAGCGAAATATTGGAAAACATCGTGACAACTGATGTGACTTAGGAAGTAAAGAGGCAGCCGGAATGGTGCTAAACACATTACCCACCGC